CTATGTTGTCTGCGACTTTATTCATAGGAATCAAATCCAAGTTAGGATTTTCACATCAGCTTGGAAGGTGAAAGTCTGTTATTCCTGCATTGTGGCTTTTGGGGGCTGCAGAGTAGGGAAGTGAGTATCGGTGGATGAAGTGATTGTTCTAAGGAAAGGAATGGCACAACTCGTTACTTCGGGATTTGACTAGTTCGTGGACTTTTCCCCCTTCCTATATGTGTGTAGGTAAGGTTCTCAAGGAGCCCTTTGGTACGCTGTTTCTCTTAGTTGACTATTTAGGAAAAGTAGCCAACGATCAGGAGTCCTTTATGAATGTTCAGGACTAAATTTTCCCTTGAAGACTGTTCAGCGATTGCTGACTTCAGGGTCTTTACCTTGTGGCTGCCTGCTGATCGCTCTGTGGTGGAGAATGCAGATTGAGCAGAGCCGTGTTCCACTTGAGAGCACTCTTCAGCTCTGATTTGCACTCATCTAGAAACTAAATATTCTATTAGTTTTCTTGGCTTCTGTGCATTCCACCTGAGGACTTCATATTTGTTATCTCTTCTACCCTCCGTGTCTTTACCCCTGTTCTTCCCGCAGATGAAATTGATCTTTCAGTATTCGGGTTATACGTTACCCCTTCCAACCTGCACTGTGATCCTCTGTAATCCCATGACACTGTATATCTCAAGTACTGTAGTCTGCTCTTTGCATTGCGATGAAGCTGTGTCCTTTCGTTTCCTTTCTTTCCTTCCTTCTTTTTTGTTCGTTCTTTTTTCTAAAGCTTTATTTTGGTATAATTGATGAATAGAAATTGTACATATTCAAGGTATACAGTATGTTTTTATATACACTGTGAAATGATTGTTATGTTAATTAATGTATTTTATTACCTCATACAAATAGCTGGCAGATATCTGAGAAGGTGCCCAGCATCACTGATCATCAGAAAAATGCAACTCAAAACCAAAATAAATATTTCTTGTCCCTCTCCTTATTTAGACACTTGTGCCCTTGGAGGACAAGAGCTGTTTTATTCACCCTGGTACCCAGGGATCAGCGCAGATCTAGGTATCTTAAATGCTTGACAAATTAATAAAGAAAGTTAGATGACAGAAAAAAAACTAGACTGATAATAACTACTGTTGTTATTACTAAGTAATTCAGACGTGCTATAAAACCATTTTTATTAGCACATTCTTTCAAATTTATCTTGTGATAATTTTGTTATTGTCTTTTTCCATAATGATACAGCTTTACTATTATTTTTGACCATAGGTGATATATGCTTGTATAGAAAATTGAAAGAAAATATGAAAGTATAGAGACAGTCTCACCACTCAGAATTTACTGTTAAAAAAATGCTTTTAAGTACAGTACAAGCTTAAATGTACACTACTCAATTTTCAGGT